AAAAAGTTGGACCAAGTGAGGGACACTGGAATTACTCTCACCGTCCCGAATTGAATTGCATATTTTGATCGGCACAAGGATTAAGGAATGACAATAAATGATACTTACCTTTACATTTGTGTTCATTTTTCTAAAAGTAGATGCCTTTAAGTTAATGACAAAAAAATAAAAGTAAGAGTAAATTTATCGCTTTATTCTTATTTACATACCTAAAATAGAAAGTGAAAATCATTTTGGGACGACCAAAATAGGAAATTTTGCAAATCAAATTGGAATTGAGGGAGTATTATGTATTAGAGCTTTAGAACTGAGACAAATGCGGCTATTCTTGGAAGTGGTTGCTTCTGACAGCCCACCGACAGTCTGCGGCGACGGGATGAAAGTAAACTGCTCAATACGTATTTCGTAACAGTCAGTCATAAGGGAGAAAAGTTAAACGCAAAGCGGTGGAAAACGAGAAATCTTTGACTTGTTGATCCGGGGCGGTGTTCATTTTCACTGCAAAGTCATCCATTTGGTGGGTCGTCTTGTCCTAACTCAATTCCTCCTCCCTCATCTCTGGTTCTTTTCTGTGTAATGTCTAGTCTTAAATCTGGCTCTTAAGCTGTGTGTCGGTCTTAGGAACCGAAATGGGCGCCGTCCGTTGAATTTAGACACTGATATGTCGGTTTATTATTATTATTATTATTATTAGCAGCTGCAGCTGCAGCAGCAAAGGAAAGGACGGAAGACGGAATGGGTTGGAAGAGCAGAGGATTTGAGTCCTCTCAGAAAGGAGTCGTTTCAAGAAAATTTACAATCTTGCTTTGTTTTGGCTGCTTCTGCGTTGGCATGCTCTTCAATGACAGGTCCCCTGATGCATCCCAATTTGAGATTATTTTTTCCTGTATTTTTTCTTGTCCGGGCAATTTTAGGCTCAATGATCCACAAAACTTTAATCAATGACCTGCTAAATCTCCGGTTTGTGAAAATGATTGCCCTTTTCTAATCACTGTAAAATCGTTGCCCTTTTTCTAATTGTAAATTATAAATTTGTTTTGGGTATTATAGAATGTGGGCGGTCCCAGAAGCTAAAGGCATATCAAGGAACTCACAACTTGTGGATGAAAAGATAAAGTTAATCTCTGATGGTTGTGATCATGGAATTGTGAGTGCTGCATATTTTTTAGCTTTAATAAAGTGTGAGCAGTTAAGATTGTAATTGCATATAATAACAAGAAAAAATGACATGTATATTACTAGCATAGTTTCCCTGAACAAAAATATGACTAGTTATGTTTCTGCACAAAAATATGACTAGTCACTGTGTATGAGTAATCGGACAAGAGTTGTATTTCAGAACTAGCCACCGGTAGATGATAAGTCATTGAGAGCTAGTCACTGAATATGTCACTTTTTTTGGAAAATTTTAGAATGAGTAATATTTTTGTCTTTTGAATTTAATTTAGTACTAATATTCATGGAAAAACACCTAATAACAATAAGAAAGTTATAATTTGTTTTTCTTTTGTTGGCATTAGAAGAAGGGTGGACAAAGTGAATCCAGCAATATTCTTGCTGAGGTTTCAAAGACACAAAGTGCTATACAGTACGCTTCTTGATCCATGGAATTTTAGATTTCATGAATGCCATTATTAGTTTTAATAAATTCATTTCATAGTGCAAGTATGAGACCCTAAAAATGCAGGAATCTGGATAAAACAATATCTAATTTAGAGATGGAAATAGCTGCAGCAAGGGCTTTGCAGGATTCTATACTCACAGGCTCTCCCATGTCTGAAGACCTGAAGATCTCTCCAAATTTAAAAAATAAAAGAAAATATCTAATGGTGGTTGGTATAAATACTGCTTTTAGCAGCAGAAAAAGAAGAGACTCCATCCGTGCTACCTGGATGCCCAAAGGTGGTTTCTCTTTCGTTCATGGCTTTTATATTTTTCTTCTTCTTCTTTCTCTTCTTCGCTTTTGGCTTTATATTGCCAAAACCCACCATGTCTGTTTGTTTACTATATTTCTATCATTTACCTTATAAAACAGGGGATATACGAAAGAAGCTTGAGGAGGAAAAAGGAATTATTATGCGATTTGTAATAGGACACAGGTGGATATCTGAAATTGATATTTGAGCTATAGCATTTGAGAACAAATGTAGAGTCAACTAGTTTTCACTCTTTTTTCTTTTTCTGAATCTCCTACCTTTTCTAGTGCTACTTCTGGTGGTATTCTTGATAGAGCAATTGAAGCAGAAGACAAGAAGAATGGTGATTTCTTGAGATTGGTAATTGTTAACTTCCAGCATTGTAAAATTAGAGAGAAAATAACTGGTCAATAAGACATTAGAGATTTCTGGTGTTATTTGGGGTGATTTGGCCCAAGTGCCTTATGACCCCATTAAATGACCCCAACCACAACTTGATATCTATCAAGAGTTCAAGACTATCAGTAAGGAAAATGTGTATCCCCCACCAAATCTTTTCAGCAATGATATAAAATGAAACAAAACAAACTCCTTCAAAGAGGTAGTTACTCTTATTTTTGTTTGTTTTACCTGCCCTCAATTGGTTTTCCTATTAAGAATTGTCAGTTTATCTCACATGGAAAGCAAATTTTAGCAGGAACATGTTGAGGGGTACCTTGAGCTGTCTGCCAAAACAAGGACTTATTTTACTACTGCTGTTGCGCTTTGGGATGCAGATTTTTATGTGAAAGTTGACGATGATATACATGTAAATATAGGTAAGACAAACAAATTATATCAATATGACTGAAACATGACTCGTGTTCGCCAACATGCCCAGTAATTATAGTCTGGCTGAACAGAATTTTCTGATCTAGTCATGTTGTATAAAAACATTAGGCACACTTGGGGCAACTTTAGCTAGGCATCGTTCCAAACCGCGGGTATATATTGGATGCATGAAATCGGGTCCTGTTCTTGCCCAGAAGTAAGCAGAAGATTCCCCGGATATTTGGCTGATCAAATTGTGATGATTTTCAATTTCTGCCTATTTTTACTGACCATAGTTGTTGTGGGTCCTCTTATTTGTAGGGGGGTGAAATATCATGAGCCTGAACACTGGAAATTTGGTGAGGAAGGAAACAAGTATTTTCGTCATGCAACAGGGCAGCTATATGCTATTTCTAAAGATTTAGCTACCTACATCTCAATAAACCAGTAAGCCTTCTAGCTAGTTTTCTTGGTAAAATTTGCTAGTCACTTTCCATTCTTAGGACATATTCATTTGGACTGATTTTCTGATAGTCAGTTTAAGTCTGGTTTGTTATGGTTAGACATTATGTGTATTTTTGTAACTATCATTTAGTGATGTTTATTCTAGGCTGGTCTGGACTGAAATAAGTTCAAGTGAACAGGTCATTGAGTATTTTAATTATAAATACCAATTGGGGAATCTGAAAATATTAGTTTTTCTTAGGAACGTGCTTCACAAATATGCTAATGAGGATGTTTCTTTGGGGTCATGGTTCCTCGGATTGGATGTTGAGCATATTGATGACCGAAGATTGTGCTGTGGAACTCCGCCTGGTTAGATCCATTATTCAGTTTTTTTAAACATCAACACCATCTCTAACTTTTCTATTATGTCAATCAGTTTGATTAAGGTTTCTTTTGGGAAATGCCAAACCAAACCCAAACCAAACCAAGTAATAACTGTTTCTGATACAATGCCTCAATTTTGCCTGCCAGACTGTGAATGGAAGGCACAAGCAGGGAACATATGTGTTGCTTCCTTTGACTGGAGATGCAGCGGCATTTGCAACTCGGTTGAGAAGATGAAGGAGGTTCACCACCGATGTGGGGAAGGCGATAACACCCTCTGGAATGCTGTCTTCTGAGGAGGACTCACTCACTGGGTGCAGGAACATATAAAATGTCCATCCATTTGTTTGCAGATGTTTTTATATTACCTTCTACCCACCTGTAAAATATGTATGTTATTACTACTCAAAAAGAGTGAGTGAGATAGAGACACAGGTAGATTTGGGGCCCTGCGGCGTTTTATGCAAGGAAAGAGATCAACCACCATTGCAGCCTACCTACTAGAGGAGCATGTATAAATATCCATTCTTTAGGCAACCCTGTTTTTTCTCTGATAGTAAAAACTTTGTAACAAGTCGATAAGACTGGCAAATTATTTCCTTCTCACCCTTGTCTTCTTTGCATGCTTATGTACGACCTGCTGAGTATTAAAGATTGGCTTCAAGCCTTCAATCAGTTCAATGCTTGGTGAATTGTTACTTCATTTTTATGGTACCCTATAGAATAGTAGGGGTGGGTGATATATCAGTTCCCAAACCCCCAGAGGTTGTAACAGGACTTCTATTTTGAGAAGTTTTATTAATCTATTATTTTAGTAAGACTAAATCAATCCTATTTGGGAAATAAAATATTCTTAGTTCTATTTTTGAACTTTGTGTGCATTTTAGTCTTTGTATTGAGCAATTTCTAAACCTATGATACCAATATCCCGTTCATTTCATTTTTTCATTTTGATTTGTCCTAAATGTTTTTCACCATAATATCCTATTTGGTCATATTTATGCAAAATTCCACATTGATCTGTGTACCTTGCATAGTTTCATCTCCTACAACATAATAGAACGGTGGGAGAAATGAATAATGAGTAAACAAAATTGATGATATCATCAAATTGAGAGTTTAAATTTCTACATACAAACTACTTGCAAGTAATGATACAATTACGTTTGGAAATCTTAAATGACTATCTAAATAAGCACGTCTTAAAATGACTAGTTTATTTACTAATACACGGATTGATTTGAAGTAATTACATGTTCATGAGAGAATTCCTGAAATAGGATAAAAAAATTATTATTAATACATTATGATATCTAAAAAAATTATTATCATGTTTTTAACATTACCAAACTTTAAACATGGTTGTATAAGACCCATTCGGCGGTAATTACTTTTACGGGGGCAACTATTTTGGAATTTTCAAACTATTTATTCATACTTAGGGCAATTTTTTATGTTTTATTTATTAGATCAGAATAGTGATTGTAACACCTTTGACTTGCAATACTTCTGTATGTTAATCTAACCTGAATATGACTACAGGTCTAATGAAAATATTTCCAACGCCTAAACCCAAACTAGGACCTAATCAGGTCCAAGCTTGGGATTGTAGACACAAAACTACACCCTCAAACAGGCAGGCCTTATATGAGGAGCGACCCAGTAACTGCAATTCAATATTTTACACGGGAGTATTTGTTCAATCACAAAAATGTGCAAGCATGGTAATGATCTAATCCCGATAAAAAAGACAAGGTGAATTCTAAGGTGGTTGTTGACTAAGGTTTCTAAGTCTCTTAGCAATGCCATCCATGATATAAGATGAAAACTTTGTTCGCTCGGTTTTCGAGTTGAATACTTTGAACCGCCCCCGGCTAAAGAGACAAACAGATTGGACATTACGCCCCTTTTTACACTTTGCATCGGAACCTGGGGTTTGACTGCATGTTGACATTGCTTTTCGTTTTGGTGTATCATTCAGTATTGCTGGGCCATCCTCTATGACCACTTCATCAGTTATCACCGGAACACCCTGGACGGATAACAAGTGTTATGTTTTGATGCTAAAACACAGTAATTAGGAAATAAAGAGAATAGAAGAATGTAATAGCTGCATTAAAAAACACGGAGCTGAAGTGGTGAAACTCAATCGCATCATGCAATGATAGATTCTCATTTGTTGACGGCTAGATTAGATTCAGGTTACAGGAAACTCTAATGATTGAAAATATTGCACGATAAAAAAATATAAGTTACAAGGATTATTTATTTTGAGAATTGTACTCCAGAGACCTGGATTGGAAGAGGCATGATGTCCCCATTTTGATGTGATGAACAAGCAACATAGCCACCTTCACGCAACATGGTTTGCTGTGAATGATAAATAAAAAATATATTGAAATGTGATCTTCTGGGAGAATCTTGGATTTGGATCACTACAAGAAAACGAAATATTTTACTTGTGCCAGAAATGAACCTAATTCCGTAATATAACTGAAAGGCACACAAATCCCAAGTCAAAAACGGAGTAAGAGGAGCTAATCAATAATGGACCCCAAATATGATGTTAACTCCGCCCTAATTCTTTCACAATGTTTTCTAGGAAGTAAAATTGTATCATTGAGACTTATTTAGAAATATAAGACCAATTTAAACAACATAATTCTTTCCTTTAAAGAAATATAAGAACTCATCAGGAAGGAAAGTGAAAAGAAGAAAGAACATTTTGGAACAGATGAAGTACAAAAGAAGTACATGTCAGTCTGCCTAGAAGCGTTAGAATGAATACTGGGCACTGTGGACACTGACCAATGTATGAGTTAATCAGCATGGGAACCAGTGATTGAAAATTTAAAGATACTGAGGTGTCATGTTGGTACAAAACTTCCAAGGAGCCCAAGTGGATGGACAAATGTGCAAATCGGGATTCATGTGGAAATAAGTTTCGTGTCTGCATTACCAAATGTGGAAACAAAGTGTTATCGGGTTGATATGGGTCCAATGTGAGTGTCATGAGATTCATAAGATCCACTTCAAGATTTGACCATTGGAGCATATTAGAGTGCATTAGATGGGCTCCTTAGCTGAATGTAATTTAACTGAGTACCAACCATCGAGTACTCGCTACTTGACCCTGGAGCATGTTGAGTAAGCTACCTAGTTGTAACGGTTTACAAAACTGAGAACGAGGCAATTGTTACTCGATGACTCATTTTACCAGGTGAGTAGATCAGTTAGGAATTGGGAGACCTTGAATAACAGCAACAACAACATTATCGCAATGCCGCAAAGGCTCCCACCTGCGGTGGGGTGGGGGTCGAATGTACACAGTCTTACCCTTGTACAGGTGGGGTGGGGGTCGAATGTACACAGTCTTACCCTTGTACTAAAGCACTAAGAGACTGTTTCTGGATGACCCATAATGAAAATCGCGTTAAAAAATCGCATGGACTGACTGCTGCTTCATAACAAAGAAGCGCAGACAATTTAGTGAGTCATTTTGTTTTATTCTATCATATTCCCAAGCATGGGAACCAGTGATTGAAAAATTAAAGATACTGAGGTGTCATGTTAGTACAAAACTTCCAAGGAGCCCAAGTGGATGGACAAATGTGCAAATCGGGATTCATGTGGAAATAAGTTTCGTGTCATGAGATGAGATTCATTGGGAAACAAATGTGGAAACAAAATTATTGGGTTGATATGGGTCCAATGTGAGTGTCATGAGATTCATAAGATCCACTTCAGGATTTGACCATTGGAGCATATTAGAGTGCATTAGATGGGCTCCTTAGCTGAGTGTTATTTAACTGAGTACCAACCATCGAGTACTCGCTACTTGACCCTAGAGCATGTTGAGTAAGCTACCTAGTTGTAACGGTTTACAAAACTGAGAACACGGAAATTGTTACTCGATGACTCATTTTACCAGGTGAGTAGATCAGTTAGGAATTGGTAGAACTTGAATAACAGCAACAACAACATTATCGCAATGCCGCAAAGGCTCCCACCTGCGGTGGGGTGGGGGTCGAATGTACACAGTCTTACCCTTGTACTAAAGCACTGAGAGACTGTTTCTGGATGACCCATAATGAAAATCGCGTTAAAAAATCGCATTGACTGACCCCTGCTTCATAACAAAGAAGCGCAGACAGTTTAGTGAGCCATTTTGTTTTATTCTATCATATTCCCAAGCCAAAAAATAGTGAGTCATTGGCTCCATTGAAAATGATGGAAAATTGGGAGAACTTGTATACATTTACTAAATTAAAAAATGGAAGAAAACGTCAACAAGAATTTAGAAACTTTATTTTAATAAAACATGTTTCAATTACACAAGTATTGCTTCAACTACACAGATCTCAGGTTAGTATAGGGCAGTTTAGTTACCAAAAAAATGAGGTAATGCTACAACCTAACTAACAGATCAGATCTATCATACACACCTAGAGGCTAATAGGCCAACCTAATAATGACTATGGGTTAACTAATACAATGTTAGACAGTGACCAATGACTGTGGTCCGATGTAAAATGTGAAAAAGTATCAAGTGTTAAGCATTATATACTAATTACTAATACAATGTTAGATAGTGACCAATGACCGGGGTCTGAGGTAAAAGGTGAATAAGTATTAAGTGTTAAGCATAAAATACCTTTGGCTCGAAAATGTCATAGTCAACGTTGAGAGCTTGTTGTGCCCAAGCCATGCCAAAACTCTCATCACTATTTCCATTTGTGTCTCCGGTATTTGGACATGGCAATGGCCCACCATTCTCACTCAGGGCATGACATCTATTAGTTGCATTGCCAGTAGCACCGTGCATGTGGTGGTTTGGGAAATGATTTTGCGATCCACTCCCATTGCTATTGATACAACACCTTGTAGTGACAATAATGTCCTTCAAATGGGAAATCAGCTCGTCTTGCCCCTTGACTTTTTTCTCCACTCTTCTCATATCATTCATGACTTTTTTCAATTCTTTTTCAAGAGAAGAAACCTTAGCATCCAATTCTACATGTGTGACTTCACTGGACTGCTGGCTGGCAGTGTTTGGAACGTCACCACCACGGGTTGATTCATCATTCCCCATAATTGTTAGAGCTGTTGTCCTTGCTCTAGATTTCTTCCTTGTAGCAAAAGCTGAAACTGTGGTTTTCAAATACCGCGGAGGTGCTTCGCCGGAAATAGAAGCTTTAAATTTGGTCAGTTGGCATGCTTGAAGAACATTCTCATGCTGAAGATCACTACTTGAAGGTTCAATGTTTCTGAAAAGAAACTACAATTCATACCAAAGAACATAGCAATTACAGATGTTAACAACAAAGCAACATGGAAATAGGACCTTTAAACAGATACTCCTTCCATTTCATATTAGTGTTCACACTTCCATAGGCACACAAGTTTAATAGTTGTGGTTAATGAGGTATAGAGGGGAGACAGAGAGAGTAAAAATGTAGTTTGAAGGGCACATTGCTCACATAATAATGACTTCATTAAAAGGGCAGCCCGGTGCACATTGGCATCCCCGCAAGGCGAGGGTCCGGGAAGGATCCCACCACAAGAGTGTAAAAGGAACAAACCTTCCCTTATCATTTTGACAAGAGGACGCTCCCAAGACTTGAGTATGTGACCTCTCGGTCACAAAGTAACACCGTAACCGGTGCGTCAAGGCCCCAGTTAAATTTGCTAGTAGTGTTAGTGCATGGATTATACAGAGCAGATCAGCATTGATAAAAAATTAATGTAAAGATGGTATTAAATAGTTGAACCTTTTACTGTTTAATAGTGCATGGATTATAGAGAGTACAAAGGGAACGGGAACACTAATGTGGAACTGACCCCAAAGGGAAACCGGGAACACTAGTATGAGAGGGGAGGAGTTTTAATCACAGAATGAATGTACAAGCATTTATTTGATTCAATGAAACACCAGTACAACTCACATTTTTATTACTGAAAATACTTTTCTTCAAAGTTGCACTACTTGGCCTCGCTGATGAAGACCATCTTAAAATCCTTGGGAATGCATAGGGGTCTACCATCCGCGCGATGTCCAACTCTTTGAGAACTGGAAATGTCTCAAAAGCCCAAACTTGTAGGGCCATAACACAACCATAGACATTGTAATGGGATTCATTGGACTGCATGCTATTAACCCCAGCCTTAAAGTAACTAACCATGTCCTTCCAAATGGCTCTTCCCCACGGGTAAGCATTAAATCCATCGAGATCATCCACAAGGTTAATATAGGCATTGTTCAAAGAAACGCCCCCTTCAGCAGACAGGAATGAATGGGATAGCACAAACAGTAATGACAATTTAATTATATCATCATTATGTTCTCTACCCTTCTCAATAGCTTGAAATACTTTCTTAATATCTCTCCTCATAACCTTAGTTTTACAATCAGGAAAGTATTTCTGCCATATATTACCCCTCTCAGATACAATATGTTGACCGGTAGGGACGTCATCATGGTAATTGAAACCTAGAATCAGTGTGAAATCGGAAACTGAAAATGATACAACCCTATCCTCAATTTCAAAATACATGTGCGATGCATCCTCACAATTTTCCATCTCAACAAGGTTCCCTAGCAAGAAATGTAAAAGTTGCCCACAACAATTCATTTCCTTGGCATCTAGAAATGGCCCAAACACTGAATTCTTAAATAGAACAATCTGATCAGGATCTAATTTAGACTTGACAAGTTGGATTGAATCATAAAGTCTAGTAAAGGTGTTAAGTTTCCTATTGCTTAAGTCCTTGTAAACCAATGATTTATCGACCATTCTCTTGAACATCTGGAAAAACAAATATGCATTACCTGGTTAGTGTAAAGATGCAAAACAAGGTTATAGATAAAAACTTAATTACAGCACAGATGAGCAAAAAAAACATACACCATTAGTTTTATATGTCAAGGTCGAGCAACTGGATGGTTGTGTTCTGCTGGGGGAACACGTGAGGTCACTATCCGTCTTTCCTGTAATGAGAAGTAACAAAGCAACAACGAAAATAAAAAACATGACAAAGACTTATCTATTAGTGTACATTTTCTTAGATTATTGACCAGCATGAACTCCAAATGCAACATTTTGTATGACATGATTATGGTTTACAGGTTGGCAGAGCGCTAATCTATTCTGGAAGTGACATATATTCAGTACTTGAAAAATTGCATTGTTAAAGCACTTTTTTGTTACACAGTGCCTGCCCCGCATCAACCATCATTCAAAAATCACATAACAGTCCTCAAATGACCAAGACACTAACAGTAACCACCCTGAAATCGAACATTCTATTTCTACCAATTAATTTGTACTGACCTTTAGCTTATGGTCCAATTCCGCTACTACCAACACATGAAGAAAATAATCAAGGGAAATCTCATGCAAAATCCAAGGCAACAAAACCATGACCGTCGTAATTAAAATCGACAACCTAAGTAGGATCGGAAGTTGTAATAAGGATCATAAAATCCTACAATGTATATATATGTACATATAATTAGAAAGTAAATATAATCATAAATAATAACCATAGTAAGATGTTTAGAACATAATACCAAATATTTTAAGTACACTTAAGACTTCAAACACATAGAGTTCTAACTCCTAACTACATAACTAAACATCTAAAACATAATCATCCATGTTAAAATCATAATCTTCAAAAGAATCCATGGTGTAAAAAGGCGCTTAAGAGGCGGGTTTTGAGGCGCGCCTCAAGGTGCGGGCGGGCTGCGTACAAACTCAGGGGGCTTAGTTTCCCAAGTTAAAAGGCTCACGCCTCAAAAGTTGAGGCGTTAACTTAAAAAAGGCCCAAGTCCTAAGTCCCTAACGTATACTTTCTATTCATCTTTTAGTTTGTGTGTGATGTTTCTGTGTGTGATATGTCTATTTGTGTGATGTTTCTTTTTGTGACTTTGTGTGTTTGAATTCTAACAACCTATTGGTATTAGCTAATATGTGTTTGTGTTTCACGCTTTTTGGACTTATAATTATGGATATATCCTTTACTTCTTTAGTTGTTTGTTACTACTTTAACTATTTTCAGTTTCATGTCTATTTTGAGGCTTACGCCTCGCCTCTAAGGAACAAACTACCTTGAAAGAACCTTAATCTCCATCATCCAAATCACACACGTCTAAATCAACATGAGGTGCCTCTCAAAGAACCAAGTTGACTGCATCTACCACTTCTTCATACTCCCCGATATTATTTTCCAATATCCTCTCATCATTATATGAAAGATCATCATGTATGAGCTGAGTTGATTTCCTAGCTTTCTTGCGTTTTTCCGCCTTTGAATTGGCCATTAAGATCATTCATTGATTTCTACTTCAAACGATTTGATAGGGATACAGCTGTACTTAATAAACTTAATAAACAGGATAAATATTATGGCCGAGTCTATTCTAGAAGGAGTAAATAGACTAGTTAGTTGATAGTTATTTTCTGTTATTAGCTACTAACTACCTTGGGTTAAGCTAGGAGGTTATAAATAGAATAAGTCTGGGAAGGGTGGAGGGGACTGTTTTGGTAGTTAGACTGGACGGGGAGAATAGAGATACTCTGTCTCTTTCTTTGGGGCTTCGTTGTATTGGTTTTCACCATTAATGAAGTTGGAGATTGTTTCTTGAGCTAAATTTCATCTTGTTTTACTATTACATACCTGTGTTAGTTCTATCAGTGGTATCAGAGCACGTTGATCACTGTGGATGGTCTTCACGCGCGCAAAAATGGAATCGCGAATGAATGATTTGGAGAGGAATCAGCAACAGACTACGGCGGTCCTGACGGCGATGCAGGCGACTCTCGTGAAGTTGGAGGAGCGAGTCCAAAGTCGATCGCGGAGCAGGTCACATGCATTGCATCGCACATCACATCATCATTCTACGGGACATTTTGCTAGTCCAGATGGATCGGAAGGCAATTCCGATTACTCACCTCCCCATCGCAATCGCCACCATCATCGAACTGGAAGAAAGGTAGACTTACCTTTATTCAATGGTGATGACGCCTATGGTTGGCTAGTAAGGATTGATCACTATTTCAGACTCAATAATATAGAAGAAGAAGAGAAAATAGATGTGGCCGTGGTAGCTATGGAGGACAGGGCGCTCAGCTGGTTCCAATGGTGGGAGAATCAAGCACGGGAGAGGACATGGGAAAAACTGAAGAAGGCTTTGACTCGACGCTTCCGACCTGAATTAGTTCAAAATCCCCTGGGTCCTTTACCGAGTCTGCAACAGAAAGGAACTGTAAAATAATTCAGAGAACAGTTTGAAATGGCCATTGCATCTGAAGAAAACCTGGATAGAAAGGTAATGAAGGGCATCTTCTTGAATGGTCTGAAGAAAGACCTGGCTGAAATCATGGACAAGGCCTTATTGATTGAAAATAAAAACAATGAGATTGTGTCCAGAAGAAATAAAGAAGAAGGCAAAACAATTTGGAAGAATAATCTTGCCAAAGGAAACAATTATCAAAAATGGGGAGATGGAAGTAGAGGAAGCAGTAACATAATCCATAGTCCATACAAACCCTTCTGGGAAGAATTCAATTGATAACAATACTGTGGAAGTTACAGCAGAATCTAATTCCAAGAAAATAGGTCCCAAATTATCCCAAAACGAATTACTGGAAAGAAGTAGAAAACGACTATGTTTCAAATGTGGGGAAAATTGGAATAGAGGGCATGTCTGCAGGATGAAAAATTTCAAAATGGTCGTGATGGAGCAATCTCAAGGAGAGGCAGAATCTGAAGCAGATTCTAGTGATTCTGAAGAAGGAGAGGGTTTTCATCTAGAATCAAAGGTGATGCAGTTATTTGTTCTCAGTAAAGAAGGGATACCTTCCATGAGAAAATTCAAGGTGATGGGAAATTTGAAATGGCCTTCAGGTGAGAAGCAGGTGAACATTCCCATTGATTGTGGTGCTACCCACAACTTTATATCCCAAAAACTGATAGATAGGTGGAACATACCTTTTAATCAAATTAAAGGATACAAGGTCCAAATTGGGAATGGGGAATTCGTACCCAACAAGGGCAGATGTGTAGGGATGAAATTGATTGTGCAGGGGAATGTGATTCAACAAACATTTTACATCTTGGAGTTAGGAGGTAGTGGTGTGGTGCTGGGTATGGAATGGTTAACTGAATTAGGAAATATGGAAGTAAATTTCCAAAATCAAACCATGAAGTGGAGGTACCAACGGCAGGATTGTAACATCAAGGGGGATACAGCCCTAAATAATGTGGAAGTTTCCTTAAAGACTATGACACATATTATACAGCAAACTGGGGATGGATACTTGCTCTATTGTGAAGGGCAAGAGCATGATCAGGAACGGAGTAAGATGAAAGATGAAGAGTGGGATGATATTATGAAAGAATTTCCAGAAGTCCTCAATTCTAAGCTGGATTTTCCTCCTGCCAGATCCTGTGACCATGCCATCAACATCATAGATTCATAGAGGGAGCCAGCATCCCCAATATAAGACCGTACAGGTATTCCTATGATTCCTATAATCAGAAGAATGAAATTGAGAAAATCATTAAGGAAATGCTCAGTTCAGGGATAATAAAACACAGTAACAGCCCCTATAGTAGTCCAGTATTATTAGCAAAAGAGAAGGATGGTGGTTGGAGGTTTTGTGGAGATTATAGATCCCTGAACAAGATAACAGTCCCAGAAAAATTTCCCATTCCAGTTATTAAAGAACTTCTTGATGAATTAGGAGGAGCTAAGATTTTTTCTAAACTGGACTTAATCTGGATATCATCAGATTAGGATGAAAGCAAGTGACACTCATAAAACTGCTTTCAGGACTCATGAGGGACATTATGAGTACTTGGTCATGCCCTTTGGTCTGACCAATGCTCCCTCAACTTTCCAAGCCCTAATGAATGAAATTTTGAGATCATTCTTAAGGAAATTTGCTCTAGTATTCTTTGATGATATACTAGTGTATAGCAAATCCAAGGAAGAACATAAAGAGTATTAGATATACTCTAAATAGACTATCTGTAATAGTTTTAACTATTGTTAGAGTCTCGGTTATAAGTCAGTTGAGTTTGTTATGACTTAAGCCAACTCTATAAATACTTGTACTGCTGCTTCATATATGAATAATAAGATTTCACTCTTTACCTCTTATCTCTCTTCTATTTTCTATCATGGTATCAGAGCTTTAGCTCGATCCATTAATGGCGATCTCCGATGACTCTTCTCACTCCTCGAGTGGAAACTCTGGCAATCCTACCTCTCCTGTTATTTTCACACATCCTCTTCCAGTTAAACTCGACAAAAACAATTTCTTATTCTGGAAACATCACGTTGAGTTTGTGGTTCGTGCGCATAAGCTTCTTCGTTTCATTGTAAAACCGATCATTCCGAAGCAATTCAATACTGATGCTGATGAAGCAGCTGGTAATGTTATCGAAGCTTATGCTGTTTGGGAGCAACGAGATCAGATGTTGTTCTCCTGGTTATTGGATTCGCTTTTTGAGTCTCTACACGCTCGTGTGATTCATTGAAGGCATTCGCACCAGCTGTGGAGTGAGATTACTGTTTTCTTCAAGTCGCAGATTCTCGCAAAGTCTAGACAACTCAAATCTGAGTTGTATAATACTTCTAAAGGTGATCGCTCGATCTCTGAGTATCTTCTGCGTATTCAGACAATAGCTGATAACCTTATGTTGATCGGAGAGCCTATTTCTGTTAAGGATCATATTAATGTCATACTTGAAGGTTTACATGAGGAATACGAGTCACTAGCCTCTTCTATTTCATCACGAAGTATCCTTGATCCACCTACTTTGTCTGAAGTTGAAGCTCTTCTAGCTGCCAAGGAGTTGCGTCTGAAGAAGCTCAATGAATCCTCACAATCTACTATATTTTCTGCCAATGTAGCTCATCTACAACCAGATCCTGTAAACACAAATCATAAACCTGAATCTCCTTCAGGTGTAGAACCT